AAAAAAAATAATTTTGAATACCAGATTGAGATAAAACTAATCTGACAAGATTTGTTTTGACTTCATTTATCTGAGAAATCATACAAACATATTTTAAAATATCACATTTAGAGATATTTTATAAAATTTAATTTTATTGAAGCTGATAAAATTCCATGAAATTAGAACTGGTCAAGATCATCTGGGCCATATATAAATGTATAATTTGAAGAATTCCTGTACTTTCTTGCTATCCATATCTGCCCAATTTTTTTTCAGGCTTTCCCCATTTAATGCAAATCTATCAAACATTGAGTCATGCAGACATGATGTGAATTTCCAGTTCTGTTTCCTCTTCTAGATATAGTCATCATCTAATCATGTAATCAAAAGTCAATGTGATTAACAACAACCAGTATAATTAATATAGTCCAATCTATTCTTTTTGACCTACGTTAGTATTCACAGCTGTAAAGGCAAAATTAGCCATCAAACCTACCTGGCATGAGTGGAAAATGAGTCCGTAACACAGAGATAATTAAACAGAAGTGCAAAAGGAATAGCTGCCCCTTGATAAAGTGAGACAGGATGGAGGAAGAACAGCTGAAGCCAATCCATTACTGACTAGAGCAGAGTCATTAACCAATGTCTTCCTGCAAGAGAAGCCACAACCCACTATCTCTGGTCTTTTTATATGACTTAGGAAGGCCTGGGTGAGCAACAGGCAAACAAAAGCACTAGAGATAAGCTCTATGACCAAGAGCTGTGTTATAGAAACCAAAACACATTTTGGTGTAATATTACTTAATAACAATATGTACCAAAAACATTGCTTCCAATGTCCTAGCTTTGTTTAATCTATACACCACATTATTTGCCTTTCCAGTCATCTGCTTGTCATATTTTCGCCACTAAGATAATGAACCATCTCATTTTCCAGTTACAGGCAATTCACCTGACTGTGGTGGAGGAATGAGAACGTGAGCATGAGGAAAGAAGGCAGGTCTCAAAGAGTAAGGAAACCTTCCCCTCTCAACTGCGGTTGTCCTTACGTTACTGCTTTTTTTCTCCACAGTACCTGTCATCACCCCTTATGTCTATTTTCCCTCTGCTCTGCAAAGCAAGAACATTTTTGTTTTCTGCTATTGCTCCAGCACATAAAACAATACTGGGAACATACTATGTATTTGGTAGACACTTGTTAAAACCAAAAGATTTTGAGGAAGCAGAAGCATGGAGAGGAACATTTAAAGAGAGTCTTTTGGGTGGTGATGGGGGCAGGGGTGTGTGTGAACAAGTACAGAGATACGGCCTAGAGGCAAGACAAGAATAACTCACCATTTCAGAGACTGGCCTGCTGGGCAGGGCATGGCAGCACTGTCTCTGATCAACTGTTTTCATCTCCAAAGCTCATGCAAGAATAAGTAGACTTAAACCAGGGACTGGATACAAAAGCCTCTCTCCTTTTTTTTTTCTCCAAATTTTAATTAAAAAAATTATTTATTTATTCATACAAGAACTGGGGCACAGGCCAGAGGTGTTGAGGGGTGAGAGGATTCACCAGAGACAGAGTGGGGGCAGAACAGGTAGAGTGACTCAAGTACACTACTGAGGGGAACACTGGGCAAAACAGGAGAGGCCAGGGATCAAACATGTGCTGCAGTGGCTGCGGATAGTTTCATAGTGCTGAGATGTAACCCCTTGAGCCACTAAGAGGGCCTTTTTAATTTTTAAAGTTTACTTTCTTATATTGTTCATTTTTGTGCAATATTTGATTTTTTCCCTTCTAACATCTACCCAGGCCAGTTCACAACATATCAACCATATCAACCACCATATCAACCATAAATCATCATCATTGTCCCTTGGATCTCTTCCTCTTTGTTCCCTGCTGTGTACCTCAAATCTATGGTCAGTTTGCAAGTTTTGTCATTTTCCTGGTCCTTTGTTCATTTTCCCTATATTCCTCCTATAAGTGAAATGGTCTAATAATTTTCTTTTTCCTTCTGACTATTTCACTGAGCATAATTCCTTCTAGCCCCATCCCTGTGGCTGCGAATGGCATGAGTTTATGTTTTGATTGCTGAATAGTATTCCACTGTATATGTGTGTGTGTGTGTGTGTGTGTGTGTACCACATCTTCTTGATCCAGTCATCTATTTTTAGGCATTTGGGTTGTTTCCAGGTTTTACCTATTGTAAATAGTGCTACAATAAACATAGGGGTACAGGTATTCTTTTGAATCAATGTTTTTGTGTCCTTTGGGTAGATCTCTAGAAGTAGAATTACTGGATTATATGGTAGCTCCATTTTAGTAGTCTGAGAAACCTACCTACAGCTTCCCATAGTGGTTGGGCCAGTTTGCACTCCTACTAGCAACATAGGCAAGTTCCTTTTTCACCCCATCTTTACCAACATTTATTGTTATTAGTTTTTTTTTATATGTGCCATTCTCTTTTTTTATTTTCTTTAAAGATGTATGTATTTATGCATACAGAACTGGGATACAGGCCAGAGGTGCCAGGGCAGTGGGAGGATTCACCAGAGACAGAGTGGGGAGCAGAACAGGCCAACTGACAACGAACACTGCTGAGGGGAGCAGCGGGCGGGTCAGGAGAGGTCTTCCGCACCATGTGGGTCACCTCCAGGGCAGGGATCAAACTCATGCAGAAGTGGCTTTAGCTTCTTAGTGCTGTGCTTTAACCCTTTGCGCCACCAGGGAGGGCCCCATATATGCCATTCTTATTCATGTAAGGTGGGATCTCATTGTGGTTTTGATTTGCATTTTCCTGATTATAAGTGATGTTGAACATTTTCTTGTATGCCTATTGGCCATTTACATAGGGGAAATTTTTTTATGAAAATTAAGCATTTTTAATATAAGAAAAAAAGAGAAGTATAAAACAATAGGTGGGGGAAGGGCTTGAGCTAGTATGAGCTAAGTTGTGGGAGCGTTTTTTTTTTCTTTTTTTTTGTAAGCTAGTTCCACATTGTTGCATGTAGCAGTAGTTTGTTCACATACAATGGTATATCATTTTCTGCTTGTGGGAGGATTTTTAAAGGAATGAGAAGGAACGTAACTATATTTAGTTCTTAAAGGATGATTTTCATTGCAAGAGATTTGGATGGGTACAGATATATGGGTGATATTTTAGAAGTCAAGGATGGAAGGACCAGACAGCTGGTGAGAAATGGGGACATATTAAAATAGAGAGTCGGTATAGGGAATAAGGCGACGTGGAAGAACAAAATTCCAGAGGTCGGACTGGCAGAATTCGCTGGCGAATTATGCATGTCAAGATAAGGAGTGTCTAACATAATTCTTGGTTTCCAGTTTGAGCAGCTGTATAAATGGTGGATTCCTTCACTCAGCTGGAGATCAAAGGACTGACTGGTTAAACCAACATTCCTGTTGTGAATGTTCAGCTTTGGTAAGTCTTTGAGACATTCAAGTGGAGATGTCAAGTAGGCAATCAAATAATCAGGTGTGAAACTGGGCAGAGAACAGGCCAGCGATACGAACTTGAAATAGCCAAGAGGAAACGCAAGCTACGGGAGGGATGAGTTCATACATAACGGGAAAGGAGCCCAGACCCTAGCAGGAGGAACCTCAAGGAGTGGAGCTCTAAAAGATGAAAAAACGAGTATCCCGTAAGTTGGCGCCTCCCATACTGGGTGTTGTTACTAATAGTGAACGGCAGGTTATAATGAAGTCACACTAACGCGCGTTTAGACTGCATGAAGCCACTGTTTTGAATCCGAATCTATTGTTTCGTGGGCTGCGTTAAACTCAGCAGCTCACCGGGTACCAGTCACAGCCTCGCTCATCAAGATCCCGGGGACCGCGCCAGCGGGACGTCCCAGCCCCAGGTGCGGAACACCCTTGGCTCCGCCCCCTCTCGATCCTGTCAGGAACTCCAATCGCTTGTGGAGAACATCGCTCTACTCAGGCGGTTGTGTCGATCGTGGCTCTCTCCAATTAGAGATCCTGGCCTAACCATGGCGGAGAAGGCTCAGAAGAGGTGGGTCTGGGGTTGGAGATAAACCTATTCTTAATTTTCTGCAGGAGTGGAGCCTGCTCCTGGTCGTCAATGATTGGGGCCGATATGGTGTCTTATGCTGGGAGATCGGCCTGAGTGGGTCCTAAAGTCCAGGCCGGGCCTCTGCCCAGGGTGGAGGCTACGGAACGGGGTTCAGGAGGGAGGATTGTTACGGGCTGCGGAATCGGTACCGGGACGGTGTTTGCTCGTCCATGCCTCCCCAGGCTCCCCGGCCCTTCTCCCCTGGGCGGGGCTGCGTGGGAAGAAAGGCGTCGCCCTCTTCCCGGACGCGAAGGGACGCCACCACCCTGCTGCTGTCTACTGTGCTCGATGACACTATCCACTGGCTGCTTGTGGCTGCGTTCGCTGCTGGGTGTCCTTGGACACCCGCGTTAGTGCTGGCCGCACCCAGTCCTCTACCTGGAGTGGGCAGCGTGCGGTTGCGTAAACTGGTTCGCCGTCGCTTGAGAGACAAAGGGCCGCGCCTGGCTAGAACTGTTAGCTACCTGCTGGGTGTGTGCGATCACCTTTGTAAACTGCACTGGCACTGTGGTTTTTCCAGCCGTCTTCACTGCTTCGGACAGAATCGGCCTGAAACGGGAAACGGCTAGGTTTCAAAAGCTCCAAACGCAGCAGAGTCGAGCACCCTCTGCTGACTCTTTCTGCAAAAGGAAACCGTCAAGCATTGTGTCGGATGCCACAAATTGAAGTTGAGGTTGTTCCTTCTACCTCGGCAAGTTATTGTAATCTTTTTCCAGAAACTAAATAACAAATCACTAAACGTTATGTGCAGTGTACAGTAGTCACAATAGAGTTGAGGATTATACCGATATTTTTTTTAATAGGTCGTTGGCAAAGCCACTCCCCCTCACCCCCGCATACCTACACGCTCTGTTACGGTAGAGTCTGCACCTAGGTGTTTGGACCACGTTTTAGTTGGTCTCATGATGAATTTCATTACTTCCTGCCTCATGGAAGTTGTGATACAAGCGATCTGGGGGCCTCTCCTTTGGGCTTAAAACTGAGGACAGACACTCTTCTAACATCTTTTGTTCAGGACAAGTTAAATGGTAGCTAATGTTCTCAAAAAATACTGAGCAGGAGGCTTAGGGGACTCAAATTGGAATTGGAAATAGCGTCTAAAGAGACATTTTATAGAGGTTAATTTATTGGACCAGGGCTTGATAAGATGGCATATTTTTGCACACATACCTGCGCTAAGTGTAAAGCATCAGAGAAGCAGCCTTAGGTGTGGTGATCCATTCAAGGACAGTATCATTCTGTTATGGGGGAAAATGACTGAAATGGCAGGATGTTTATAGAAAAAGATTTTTAACCAACAGAAGAGATGATTGGCGAGAAGAAATGCCCCGGGAACGAACTTTGCTTCAAGAAATGTCTAGTCTGTGGACTTAAGCTTCTGATACAGTGAATGGGCTCTCAGATAAGCATTTGCGGATTTGCCGCCTTTGAGAAATTTGTGACAAAACTGGCTTTCCCAGACCTCTTTTTTTTTCTCTCTCTCTCTCCTTTCCTTGCCGTTTCTCTTCTTTTGACAGGTTTAGGGTCGAGGAAAGGAAATCCCAAACAAAAGCAAATAGTGGGAAAGCTGGCCGGCAAGACTCCTCTTCCTCCCTGTGCTGTCCCCTGCCCATTACTCTTGCTGATTCCCCATTTTTGTTTGTCTTTGTGTAAATAATGGCTGGTGCCCACTGGTCTCCATCCCAGCACTAACTTTTACTCCCTCCCCTTTATAGAAGCTGCCCATCTCCCCTTTCCTTTGTTGAACATTGTATAAATAGCCCTGTAACTTGTCATAGGAGGAGTACGGTGGTCTTTCGGACATGAGTCTGCTGCCCTCCTCATTTGTCTGCTGCCCTCCTCATTTGTCGACAAATAAAACCACTTTCGTTTTCCTCAAACTGTTTCCTTTTATTGGATGAGGGAAACTGAGACCGGAGTCGGTAACACTTCATCCGTCTATAAAATGAGAGCACTGGGCCACTTTCTGTTCCATGTCAACGTTTTTCTTGTTTAGTAAAAGGGTTATATATCTTGTATGATTTCAGCAGAGTTAAATGACAATAGCCCAAAAGATCGTTTTTTTCAGAATTTCAATATTTGTGTCAAAATGATGGAGAAAGAATGTAGCTGATGTCGCTACTGTCTTAGGTGAGCAGATGTTTCTTGAAGGTAGATGGAGGAATGGCTGGTTTTTCTGTTTCTTTTTACTGGGAGCTTTAAAAACACGTTGTCTAGAAAGATTTGTTCACTGAAATTTGCAGAAAAGTTTGTGTATGGCTTCTGTTTTTTTAGTTTTTCCTGTCTGTAGAAAAGTTGGTGTGATTTTAAAACTTTTTTTGGTGTTAATTTGCATTTATATTAAGTGTTATTTATGGGGATTCTTCTGATGGAGAGATCACAGGTATATTTCTGGTTTAAACAGTTTCATCAACTTTAGTACTGTGTTTTCAGTTACTGGGTTTTTCTCCTAAAATGTCCAGAGATCTCAAACTGAATTTAAAATGTATCAAAATAACTATTCTTTTCAATGTTCTGATGTTTTTTAAATCTTCAACTAAGATTTTTCAAATGTCAGGTAAATGTTTTTTCAAAAAGTTCATCACATGTTTTATTTCCCTTGAAGATATTCCCCTTGATCTCCCTGTCATCTTTTCACTCTTAAGACTGATACACAGCATTATTCTGATGTCTCCCTGTTCTTATGTACTGGATCCTGTTTCCAGGATTTTGTCTTTTTACTGTTATTTAACTAGTACATTCTCCAACAGCTCCCTAATAAAGAATGCTTAGGAGATGTTTCTTTTTTTTTTCCCCAGTTCTTTCAAGTCTGAAAATGTCTTTCTTCTCCTTCCATACTGATTGCTTGTTTGAATGGATAGATAGCTCTGGTTTGAAGATAAGTTTTGCTCTGAATTGCTTTGACTTCTGGTATTGCTATTGGGAATTGGATAATCTCCCTTTTTTTGTGTATGACTTTCTTTTTACTCTGGAAACTGTAAGGATCTTTTCCATAGTGTTCAAAATGTTGTGAGAATATTAGTGATGTATTTGATATCTCTTGTATTAACTTAATCCTTGCACAGTTGAGATCATTATCCTTTAGTCCTGGGAAATTTTCTTTATTCTTTGAGTCTTTGTTCTTTATTATTCTTTTTTAGCTTTCCCCACAAATATTTACCTTTTCTTCTTTTGGGATTAAAAAAAAATTATATTCTATATCTCATTTTTGGTCCTCTAATTTTCTTACCTGGAAACTTCTATTTTCTTTCCTTTTACATTTTTATTTACTGGGAGGGCTTTAAATTCACTTTTTAAAAATTCATTCAGTGAATTTTAAATTTTGGTCATGTTTTAATTTCTGGGAGCTGTTTTTTTTTTTTTTTTTAAAGATTTATTTATTTGTACATACAGAACTGGGGTACAGGCCAGAGTTGTAGGGGCGGTGAGAGGCTTCACCAGAGAC